GGGTGCTGCCCCAATCCAGGCTGCGGGTGGCCTCCTTGGCCACCTGGGCACACGCTGCCTCATCTCCAGCCCCCCAGGTCCTTTCCCAACTGGAAAGCCATGAAGAGAACAAAAGAGAGGAACATCCTCATCCCCTGATGCTGCCCATGGGCATCATTCTGGGGTACCCAGAAGACCTTAGAAAGCCTCCCAGAAGACCAGGTTCTGCTAAGGAGACCCCTGCTGCTCCCTGAGCACAAAGTGCTGACATGGGAACTGTTCAAAAATGGTGAGAAGGAGAATTTATGTCCTTAAAGGAACTAAGAGCTGCCATTTATCCATGCAGAAAGCCCACTCTTCAGGTTTTTAAGTGTGGAGGGAACACCACATTCCTTAAAAAGACATCTCTGAAGAGGATTTTGTATATCCAGAGGTCTGAAAAGTACCAGAAGTGGTATTCTGGGAAAGTCCTGGAGCCAGGCTTGGAATCACAGAATCAGTAAGGTTGGAAAAGACCTCTAAGATCAAGTCCAACCATCAACCCAACACTCCCACCACCACCAAACCATGTCTCCAAGTGCCACATCCACATGTTTTATGAACCCCTCCAGGGCTGGGGACTCCAGCACCTCCCTGGGCAGCCTGGGCCAATGTCTCACCACTCTGCCAGGAGAGAAATTCTTCCTCAGATCCAACCAAAACCACCTCTGGAGCAACTTCAGCCCATTGCCTCTCCTCCTGCTGCTTGGAGCCTTGGTTCTGCTCAGGACTAACCCCTGGTACATCCACCAGCATTTCTCACCCTTCATTTCATCATCACCCAACTGATACCAGCAAATAAATCGATTTAATCCAAAACAATCCTTAAGCCACTGACTGAAACCTTCTTAGTTTTGCTTGTACCCATTTTGCTTCAAAACCAAGCTGGCTGCAAGGCTTTGTTGTGGGATCTTCCTGAGCTTAAAGAACTTCTCCTCCTCCCTTTTGGGCAGGTTGTTGGTTCTCCACGTGACCTGCTGAGTCACAGACACCACGTTGCCTCACAAACAAACACGGGGTCGAGGATGGAACTTTGCCCTTAAACCTTCCTCTCACAAGATCAACATCTCTTTCTCTCCCTCTTTTTTTTTGTCCACTGAGGTTGCTTCAGCAACCTGGGGCTGAAGTGTAAAGCAGAGATCACACCACCCCGGGAGCTGAAGGAGAAGCTGGAGTGAGGAGAAAACGAGGGGCTGGTTTTCATTTGGAGCAGTCCTGCACCCGAGTTCACCTTCTGGCTGCTCAATAAAACATCATTCCAGACCAGAAAACATCATTCCAGACCAGAAAACACCATTCCAGAAACCACAATCCACTCCACAGAATTTCAGAGGGGGCAACAAGAGGTGGCTGAAGTTCTCAGAAAGGACTTCATGAGCTTTGGGAGTTCTACCTGAAGCCTGCCATTCATGTTCTACGTTGCCCTGAGGAGACTTCCAGAGTCTCTGCAGTTTTCCCCAGGGGATAAACATTTGATCAGAGCAGAAGGGAACCAAAGGCATAAAGATTTGGAAACTCAGAGGGCTAGAAAGCAAAGGTCACATTGAATCCTTATCAAACAGTCAATTCACAACGTATAACCTGGTTTTGTGCCACTTGCTCCCAAATGGGGATCTGGAGTATCAAATATCAAGTATCAAAACACTGCCCAAGAGATAAAAAGTCCTATCTCAATACATTTCAAGCATCTTCTTCAAGAAGATCCGTTCTTAAACAAGATCAGCTGTTAAAGGGGGCATTTATCACATTTTTAACTGACATAAAATTGAAACCAAAGTGGTTCTTGACACAAAACACTTCTAGGAACTGTTGGTACTCTCACAATTTATCCTCCACTGCTAGTGCCCGACACAGGCAGGGGCTGGATGTCACCAACAAAACTTGCAAGTGCCACTTGGAGTGGCTTCTAGTCACTGGGTGTAGACAGAGAATCTCAGAATGCTTTAGGTTGGGAGGAATCTTCAAGATCATCTCTTTCCAACCCCCTGCCATGGGCAGG